ACGAAATTGGTAGAAGTAGATAAAGCACTCAATGCTCCACACTGCCACCATCAGCTCGAAAAAATTTTATTGAATAACTGAGTATCGAGAATATTTTTACCATTAGAAATTCATTATGAAAATCTGTATATATTCATATAATTCATCACCTAACAAAAACTTTTAATAATTTTACAACTTTTTAGGGCAAATGGTAGCAGTCGGTACTGTGCAGAGCTGAAGGTCCCGTCAGCGAATTCAAGCTGAAGATTTATAGCCGCCGGGACATGACGGCCAACATCAGAATAAAAACTGAATTAAATTCTAGCCTACAAGCCCGAAGCACTTACACTGAAAAAATGCTCATAAAACTGAAGGAGAAATGTAATTGAAACATTCGCTTCAAATTCCGGAGACTTACCCTAAAATATACCTCGTAATTCAAATTTCCCGGATAGGCAACGATATCACATTACAGTTATTTTAATGGAAATATTATGCGATTTATTGAAATTTTGAAATTTTCAGAACACGATGCATAACAGTAGACAAAGGAAGATAAATATCAAGAAAAATCGAAGATTATCTCATGATTGGGGTATTCAGAGAATCTAAGATACGAAAAGAATCAATTAACAGTCTACGTGAGTTGCTCAGCTACTTCATCGGAAAAGTTGCTACCCAATGAATAAATCAGCAAATTCTGATGTACATTATATATAGCATAGTTTTTACGAAGCCCACTGAATTTCAGAGAATGGAATGAAATTAGATGAAATTTTACGAATCTCATTTTCTCTCACTTGTACAATGAGGTGAACGAATATAGGCATAGAAAATGACCATCAAAATGAAAATGTTCCAAACCCTTAGCGCATTTTATTACAGATCTGAATGTAGAATATATTAATGAATTGAAATACGTATTTGATCAACTGTGTTCATGTATGAGACAAAAATGAATGAATACCATGCCTAAAATTTTTATGGGTGTAGAGGTCAGTAGGTACGTGAAGCCTCGAGAAGGTAGAGGCTCGCTGCCTCGCGGAGGCTTTTAATTCGTTCCATACAGAGGAGCTTTATGGGAATGAGCTACACAGGCACACTAAAGAATGACTACAGATTTATGCGAGCTCGGCTATTTTGAGAAAAATACGCACGAGTCGCCTGCACGCATCGTAGCGAGCGGATACATTCGAGAACATAAATATGTTGACGGTAAATCAAGTCATTATGTCAGCAGAATACTCTAATTTTTCAGAAAAATATTAGATTTCATCAGAATACAATTGAATAGTAAAGATTTAATGACGAGATTATTAGATTTCGCAAGTTGAGTACATGATACTCTTTAGAGAATACGAGTTTAAATTGGGAACATAGATGATTTCAGGGCACAATAAATATTTGAATTGTGTTTAGAAGTGCTCAAACCAGCCTTTTTTATTGTTTTCTTTCCCTAACTAAAAAATTTATGAAGAAAAAAGTCAAATTAATAAAAAGGCACTATACATTCATCAAAATTATGTCTAGAAGTGCTCAAATCAGCCTTTTTTATTATTTCTTTCCCTAACTGAAAAATTTATTAGGAAAAAAGTCAAATTAATAAAAAGGCACTGCGCGCACGCATAAAAAATTAACAAATACGAATGACGTGTTCACTACCCGTCAACTTGCCTCATCAATGAAGGTAAATTAAAATTGTGAAAATATATTATCGTTGAATGTAGGTCATAAAGCCAATAAAGTGCCTATTTCCATTATCCAGATCATTTTAAAAGTAATTATATCATAAACTATATTTTCTATTTATCAAGTCATGACTAAGTGAGTTTAGAAGCCTGCTGTAGCCATGTGGCCCGCTGAGAAAATAAATGACCATCTATGTTTTATTCTCGGCGGCCACCGATAGAACGATTCGGCTGTAACTAAGAGAACTAGATAACGACGCTTGAAGTTTACTGCGTCGAGTTTGTCGCATGGCCGCGGATCTAAATGAATGAACCGCGTTAAGATAATGGGCGTCGTGACTCGCTACGGCAAATATGCAAGCTCGCGACATGATCCCTCTACTGGCGCTCGACACGCTATACGCGGCACCGTAAAGCGTGTAGAGGGGTTTAAAACGCTCCTCGAGGGGTTATAAAACACGCTATAAAACACATCGGGGGTTCTATTATCGAAAATCTACTTACTATTATGAGATTGTAACTCAGTTAGCCAATCACTGACGACTTCTCAAGCAAATCGCACTAATAATAGACGAGAAATCGGAGTCTACTGAGACCGTTACGTGAACTTAAACGAGTTTTTACAAGTTTGGCCCCAGTATATAGCGGTGGGTAGGATGGCAGAGAGAAGGGGGTAGAGAAATGAAAATGTGCAAGGGTTGATAAGAATAAGTGAAGTGAGCAGAAATGCAACATCCAAGGATGTGGATACGTGGTGTGCGACGACACAGTTAATGATAAGAGAAGGTTTTTAGGTGAACTCCAGAGTTAAACTGTATATTGTAATGAAGGGACTAATTTATAGGCAAAAAAGAATAAGGAAATCCAAATGATAAAGTTTAATATAACTCGAAAATTGCAATGGAAAATAGTCAGAGTTAGAATCTTGATCGACTAGAATCTTGATCGACAAAAAATATTTCAGTGCAAAAAGTGTGGAAGAATTGACGCCTGAATGGAATCCTGAAATTGACGCCTGAAAGATGATAAAGATCAAAATACTGAAATAGAGCAAATTTTTCGGCGAACTCAGTTCTCCCACAATTCGGTATATTTTCTTCAACAAATATTTAGCAGGCCTTCCTCTCATTTACATCCCGAGGTAGTTTCACCGGTGCTACAAAGTGCGCCGCGGTTTGAACTGCTAGATGTTAGTGTAGCCGGCCGAGGTTGGAAGAACCATCAGGCCTGCGTTTGTCAGTCACGCATTGCTCCAAGCCTCCAACCTGAGATCAAGGATTGGATCAAATCGAAGAGGGTCTCTTATCTCCGGCCATCGCCGCATACGGACCCTGGGTCATTGGAAACCCACTCCATTGATTTCACTGTCAAGGCCCTTGTCAAATACCTACTTGTGCCAGTCTCTTTCCTGTGAAATACTTCTTTAGTCAATAAAAATGTGTCTAAACCCGGTTCCGGTACGATAAAGAAGTCAATGCGGGGACAATGCGTCGAAGCCCTGGTTTCTGTTCGAAAATCGTCGGTGCTGGAGCAATGTGACCAAGCCAGAAGAGTTACCTGTTAAGAGCGAGCCTTGGAAAATTGTTTCAAGGAGTCCACCACGAACTACTGATACTATAATGAAATACCGTTCTCGCAAGCAAGCGTCAGTGCTGAACGAGTTTGTGTCGAAAGTTGATAAGAATTGAGGGGACGAGCCACAATGTATTTATTGATGAAATTATTGTGTTGTCTAATTTGTTACTAGCCATAACCAATATTTTACGCGTAAGCGGTCGTATAAACAGTCGATGCATTGGTCTTAATTGCGTGGTGTTCGTCAAAAATTAGCAATGAGTCCTCCGATATAGGACCTTCTTTGGCTCCTGAACCTAGCCTGGATTATCCTAATATTTATTTGGATGGCCGGACCTCCAAGCCTCATGACCAGAATTTTGTTCCATCAACTAGCCTTCAAATTGTCGTCTGCAGCGTTGGCACACTCAAGTTAACAATGTAAATCAACGGCTAATTCATTGTCACTTTAAGCGACCTTTTGAAAATTCTCTGCAATTAAATTCAGCTATTTTGGTAACTAACGTGCTGCTTAGTTTTCCCGCAACAAATGAATGATCGCTTAAAATGATTCTTTCAAATGTCCAGTTGAATTGAGCAGAACCTTTTTACGGAATGCTTCAACAAAGCCTCAATATTCGGAAACTTAAAATCAAGAAATCGACCAATTTATCGGTTTTTAATTGTTGACATGGGAGGACGAAAAATTTTCATTGCCGTTTGTCGAATTAAAAGGCTGACGGTAAACGAAAGGAGCGTAAAACAGTATCATTAGCGAATCATAGACATACATGATACAAAATAAAAATCATTCCCATCTTACGTTCATCTCCAGCTTTCTAAAGAATTTTTCTAGAATTAGAAGACTGGCGGCACTCGGCAGCTATCTGGGTCTGTGCTGGAGTGCTCTTGCATGTACCATTATCTTGGGTGCGGTGATAAGGGAGCTAGACCCCTTACCCCAGTCGTGCGAGCTCTACTTTCTTGGTTCTTTCAGCTCGAAATGGAGGGTCGAACTGCACCCAATCACACCAAAGAGCATAGCACGACAATGGCACCGCCTATACTGACACCCGATAGCTTCTTTCAATAGTCCTTGCTATTCGAAAAATTTAATATATAAAGAGCTGGAATAAAACTGCCAGAGGTGACAAAATAAAACGTAAAGGATAGTGTCTGCGCAAAACTTTCTTTTGTGTGTTGAAGAATCAGTTGCAAGCCAAAATATAGTAATGCTGTACACATAAAGAATTCAAGTAAAGGGAGGTAAAAAAGCATCACAGGCGGCGATCAATAGGTGATATCAATCGTCCGAAACACATACAAAGGATAAATGAGCGTTCGTCGTGAGCAAGTTCCGAATTAGCCTGCTGTATAATCGATCATGTGAACGGCAAATCACTCATCCATGAGAATTTATTTTACATTACACGAATAAGTGTTTACATTACACGTTTAGAATTACACGAATAGGTGAAAGGAAGGTTATGAGGTAGTACTCACGACGAGTGAGGAAGGTAATGAGGAAGTACTCACAACAGGTGAGGAAGGTCATGAGGGGAGTACTCACAACGAGTGAGGAAGGTTATGAGGCAGTACTCACAACAAGGAAGGTTATGAGGCAGCACTCACAACAAGGAAGGTTATAAGGCAGTACTCATAACAAGGAAGGTTATGAGGCAGTACTCACAACAAGGAAGGTTATGAGGCAGTACTCACAACAAGGAAGGTTATGAGCAGTACTCACAACAAGGAAGGTTATGAGGCAGTACTTACGACGGGGGAGTGGGTGATTTGCTCCCTAAGGAGACGCTCCTCTGAGAGGCAGTAGCGGGCGTCGTGGGTGACGGCGTCCACGGGCCCCTTCTCCACCTGGTGCTTGATCGCTTTGTACAGCAGGAATATCGCGGGGCCAGCCTCGTCCTACGCAGTCAATTATAAATCCGAATTATAATTCTAATTAGAATTATAATTCTGATTAGAATTCCTACTCAACCAATTACGATAATATTTCGATTATGTTTGCTGGTGTTCGAGATGAGTTTCCCATACTAAGATGAGTTTCCCATGAGTTTGTTGTAATTCTGATTAGAATTTTCCAAAACAATTAAATTTGCATGAATTATTTGAATATTATATTATATTTTATGATGAAGTCATCAAATTCGTTATTAATTTGATCACAAATTATACGTCCTTATTGACGTATCATTTGAATAGCTGAACGAAAATGAATGGCTGAACGAAAATACTATAATGTTATAAATTGTTAAAAATTCACGACAATTTTAAGTTTGAAGCGTTATAGATAAAAAACAAAAGAAAATACTAAGTTGATTTGAATACTTCAAAATAAACTCGTCTAGCCTATCATATTTTCAACCACCGCAACTTTACCAGCTTGCCAAGTTTCAACACAATCAAAATTATTGAATTTTCCAATTATGATATAATCGGTATATTGAATATAATATTATATTAATCAATAGAAACTATAAATTAGACAATCGCAGAGCACTTAGCAGCAAAAAATGTATACGAATATTTGAAAATATATAGATGTATTCTGATTTACTTGTATTAGCCAAAAAATAAAAATTGATGTAGTCATCCAGCATATGACACAACTCAGTGAAATGAATTCCCATGCCGAAGGTAGTTGAACAGATTCAACGGATTGGGACTGAATTTTGCAGCCAATGAAGACATGTTCCTATCCTCATAAACCACATACAATAGTTTGAACTGAATAAAAGATGATGCGCTGAAATAGTATGGGAAAACATCTCGAACACCAGCCAACATAATCGAAATCTTATCGTAATTGGTCGAAGAAGAATTATTAGATTCACGAAAATTCGATTATTCTATAGCCTTTTATTACCTGGGATATATCCAAAATTAAAAAAATAATCACCTTGAGGTAGGAATACATGCACAGTGCCAGCCAATTGGTGAGCATTTTCTCGACGACAGTTTCCGTTCTCCTGAGCATGAGCTGAGGATGCTTCGTAGCGACGCTCTTATCAATGAGACGCAGCAGCAACAGACGTAGCACGTCTGTCAGGTACTCCATACGGCCTGTCAGCACCACCACCAGCAGCGACGCTACGTTCACTCTACCATGGTATAACACGAATTTATAACGTGATCTTAAAAAATATAATTAATAATTTATTTATGCGATGTAAAAAAACAACACATCCGAATTTACCCGTTTTGATATTACCAACAGCAGTGACGCTAAGTTCACTCTACCATGTTATAACACGAATTTATAACGTGATCTTCAAAATATACATTAAAATTTACCTCTTATAATAACAACAAGAGATGCAACGCTGCGTTCACTTTGCAACGATAGAACAGGGATATATTATGTAATCTAAAAGATATACATTCCAATATACCCATTTTGAAACCACTACCAGCAGCGCTGCGTTCACTTTGATAGGACATGGATATATTATGTGATCTAACCCCACACCCCATTCGGGTAAATATTTGGGACATAAGCTACAATTAAATATTTAATTTGAGGTTGGAAAGAAATCGGCTATATTAAAAAATTAAACTTTAATTAAATGCATAAATAAGGAGCAATCACCCGAACTAAAATAAAGGTCACGAGCTTGAATAATTTATTTGTTCAGTCCCATCTGATTGTTGCATCAGAGGTTGTTTGTCTCGAATTTTTAACAAAATAAAATAATGATTGTTGTAATTGTTGTAAATTTTTTTACAACATTTCATAAATTGTCAACATCGTAGTTAATTTCAGTATTTGTTACATAAGGAAATAGATAAAACAGATTTATTTACCGAGCACAATCTTCATACAAGCGAACGGGACTTCAATAAATTGAAACGACGAATAATAAGGAAGAGTCAAAATATAAACTTACTGCCCACGTTACTGAGAGTAAAAAAATTCAAGCTGGTTGCGTTTTATACTCCATTATAAAAACACTACGATCTTCAACGTCTAAATTGAGATTCCATAGCAACTGATGTTAACCTGGGCATCAGTTTTCATCTCTTCACAAACAAATAAAATAATTCAAAATTGTTGCAAGATGAAAAAGAAAGAACAAGCTTTCCTGGAAACTCAAAAATTTCAAGTCTTCCCAGAAGCGCGTGCACGGCTTTGAGAAAAGCGGCTCGAATACAAAATAATATTTGGTAAGAATTTGATTTTCTTTGACTGAATAAAAGCAAAAACGCAAGAGATTTCAGGTGGTTGCGGCCTTAGAAGAACGTACTTGTCTCTGATATTGAAGGTTTTCTGTGCCTCAAGAGTCTCAATAAAGGCCAGCAGGAAATATCTATTGGCGATGAGCTGCTCAAATTGGACCATAGCGTTGCTCTCTCCGGGCGTGCGACAGGTGCTCATCTGGTACTGAAATATGAGCATTATTGAGCATACGCATGAGCATTATTGAGCATACACATGAGCATTATTGAGCATACGCATGAGTATTATTGAGCATACGCATGAGTATTATTGAGCATAAACACGAGTATTATTGAGCATACGCATGAGTATTATTGAGCATAAACACGAGTATTATTGAGCATACGCATGAGTATTATTGAGCATACACGTGAGTATTATTGAGCATTCACTTGAGTATTATTGAGCATACGCATGAGTATTATCGAGCATACACGCGAGATTATCGAACATATATATTCAATCAAACACATAAGTATTTTCGACCAAATGATTGAAGCACATACATGGGTATCATGGCACATATGTTTCGAGCATATACTTGAGTATTATTAAGTCTCAGGAGCGGTTCCATGGCTTGTATGTCCATTCAAATTGTTCTGTAAAGTTTTGAAGCTGGGAAATATGAAGAACTAGAGAATATTAATGTAATTCGTGATAAGTTTGATTAAAATGTATACAGTGCGTTGAAAGATTGATAAAATTGCAGAAAAAAAACAAAACGAAAATATTTATAGGCGAATTTCGGAAGTTCAAACCTGAAAATAGGAATAAAGCTGGAAAATTTGAGTACAAGCTGATATTGAAATATTTTAACAAATTCAAATTTGTAACAAAATTCGAAATTGCTGGAAAATTTATATTACGAGGACGTGTTGTGATGAAATTAGGACGAATAGGACGTGTTGTGATGAAAGATATAAAAGCTGGTACCGTACAATGATGCACTGATGGTGGTGAATGTGGTCTTCACATGCATGTACGAATTTCCATTATTAGTTTTTGAAATTTGTCATTAGGAAAATTCCATTGATAAAGTAGTAGAGAAAAGTGGAAAGTAAAATTTTGCAATTACGAAATTAGAATTTTTTTGATAAAAACTTTAAATTAGATCTTCGGAAGCTAGACTGATACCTAGCTACTCTGCAGGTTGAGGAGAGGTGACAAGATAATATCATGAGATCACTTAGTACGGGGGAGGTACCTTGGGGTCATTGAGTACAGGGGAGGTACCTTGGGGTCATTGAGTACGAGGGAGGTACCTTGGGGTCATTGAGTACGGGGCAGGTACCTTGGGGTCATTGAGTACGGGATGGTCCATAACGCCAGGGAAGAACACTTTCATGATGTAGGTTCGCAGGTCCAGGGTTGGTATGCCTGACGACTGCAGGTCGGCGGTCAGGTCGGTCATGTCCGTTTGCAGTTCCGCAAAAGCTAAAAAAAAAACAAAAGCAGGACATAAAATAGACTTTACAAGGCAGTGGTGGTTATCAGTTTTACTTGCAATTTGAGTTAAAAATGACTATTGCTAAATTTCTTCAACAAAATCTTATCTCCATACTGGTTCAACTTCAAAATTTTGATTTAGGTGATTAAGACACCATTAGCTTTAATGGTGATTAGACACCATTAGCCTTGTAAGCCATAAGATAATTAGGCCGCAGGCATTGATGAGCACAATAGTAAGCACAATTTGTATCAACAAACCTGTGATACGCATCATAACATGGTAGCTGTACGCTACATTTGGTCACGGTAAAGATGACCATGCAAAGTTACCTTGCTTGCACTCTGATCGCACGTTAGACTCCAGCGTGTCCATCTGTATCTGGATCCTCTTGTACTCGCGCTCAGCCTGGTTGCTCTTGCGGCGATACACGACCAGAATCACCATAGATACCAGGACCAGGAACAGCCCTCCAGTGGCCATACCACCAATTGCCTCCGGAGGGAAGTGGTACTCCTGCAGATAAAATTATTTCTTGTTAGCTGGCATACAGACTTTAAAAATTAAGTGAGATATAAAAATTCACAAAAATGTCATATATTTTAAGTTGGGTCGTACCATGCGATGCGTCGTAAGCGGATAAGGTCCATTTCCTTATTGTAGTAAAAAAAAATACAAAATTTTCTGTAGACATCTTCAACGTCGTAAAAATAAATATGCCAAAGATACTTACAACGGTAACAATAAACACGAACCTAATTGTAGCTCATGATCCCAATTTTTTTTAAATTGTAGGCACAGCGATGAAAATGGATTAAAATTATTTACACGATAACTATAAATAAAGTAAAAATAAAAGCTGACCTTCATCATCTCGTATCTCAAGTTCCCGATGACATATCGCAGGTTGCTGCCCACCCGCACCACTACAACCGGTAATCCCGAGTCGGTTGGACGACCCGTTTCGTCGGTTGGGGACGGTTGGGACTCGGGTGGGTCGCACACGAGCTGCGTGAGCGCCAGAGATGTGACGTTGCACGCTTTCGTGCCGATTGTGACATTCACGTCGGTTTCGTCGCTGGCCAAATTCAGATTTTCACCCTAAAAATTAAGGCGAAGAATGAAGATAAATTGATAGAAAATAAAAGGTCATTCTAGTAGATAACAATAACATAATTATTTACTCATTCATTTTTCCATGCCAAAACTTTTGAGTATTTAAAATTAAAATTATTATCTATATTTTAAATTAAAATCATTCAGGCGATTGTTCAATACAAATTCCGAGTATTCATATGAAGAATTATGCACAAAACTTGCCTCGATGACGAGAGTGTCGCCTTTGTAGAGTTTAATACCGTCCGGGAATTTCTTATACACAGGATCGAGAACATAAACAAGAGCAATACGGACGGAAGCAGGCAACATGTGTCGTAAATTGCGGACGGACGCGACGTTGTCCATAATAAATCCAACATCCAGAGCCAATGAGCTTCCAATTTTCGACGAGGATCTGCGCATAGTAGAAAGTGAATTCGATAATTTGAATTACACGTGAGTACAATTGTATATGGTCTTTATGCGCTTTTGACGTAAAAATCTTCATAATTTATGTTTATTTTAAATCTTATAAATCGTTATGAAATAGAATTAAATAAACCACTATAGCATAATATTTATAAAATTATTTTCAATAATGGTCTCAAGTCTAATTTAACACTAGGTTCGGACATACGGCTGGTCGTTAAATTAGCCGATAGAAATAATCTTCTAATTTCAGAATTAATTACTAGAATTATATTGATGAAACTATTAAGAATTAATTACCTCATATTTCTCAAGACCGCCGGGCTTTCGGACGTATAATTTTCTGAATCTGACGAAGAGAAAGAGTCAAAACTTCTACGATCTCTGAGCAAGGCCAACACAACGGCGCGATCCACGGGCGGCGACGGGCACTCCATGAGTGACGCCGAGACCACATGACACATGGAGGAGTTCAAGATTCTGTCATGGAGGAGGATCGTAATTCTTGGAGACTGGACAGCGTCCAAGTAGGACCCATGGACAGTAATGATGCGACCTCCGCTCCAAGGACTCGTTAGAGGTTTGAGCTCGAGGACCCGCGGGTCTGGAGTGTACGTGAAAGGAACCGGCAAGATTCTTTGCGCATTGTCGATGTTGACCACGAGCGTGCGGATGACGCGTTGTGCGTGAGCTCGAGAGCCCTCGGGGTTGGGAGGCCCTGCCCGGGACGTGATGCAGACCAAGCGCTGTGACGAAGATTGTGTCTTGTTTACCTTGCACGGCAGATCATCGAGCACCGCAGTAATGTTCGTGCCAACGTTCAAGTAATTACCGCTGATAGACAAGACAGTTCCGCCCGACATTGGTCCTTGTCTCGGCCACATACTGTCAACAGTTATGTTCTGAAACGAAGAAAATAGAATTTTCATTTATAAATGCACTACTAACGCTCATTGGTCACATAAATAATGTTACATGTCTAAATTTGAATTTGTCACAAATCTGTATGAGCATCTCACCGTATAAGAGAATTTAACAGTCGACATGGTTGCGCCCGATGGGCTTGACACATGGACCGGGAAATGCATGTTATTGGTCATGAGATGCGGAGGAACTTTGCCCGTGCGGCAAGTGATTTTAACGGACACTTCGTAGCCTTGCACGTCACAAGGCACGTCTCCGATGAAGACGTTGCCGACGATGTCTTCCTCGCGCAGGCCCAGGTTGCTGCCCTCGATGGTGACCAGGGTACCGCCCTCCATGGGGCCAGCCAAGGGGTGGATCTTTGGGGGGGAAAGAAGGCCATATAAGAGAAAGGAACAAAGAAATCTAAGGAAATGAGATGGTTATTAAAAAAATAAAAGAGATATATAATTATGGAAAATGTAGGTAAAAACCATACCTCGATCTAGGGCTAGATTGAGAAGTATTGGAGGTGAAAAATGAACGAAATTGTTGTCTGGGAGAAGTTAAAAAAAAATCTTACATGGCACTGAAAAATGATACAACCCACTTAGCGATCCATCATGTTTATTAATGTGTCAAACATAAAATGCATGTTCTAGTGTGCGCTTACGATAACAATTTGTAAAATAGAATTAGAAATTTTACCAATATCAGAAATTTAGCAAACGCAATGCAGTGGCTTCTATACAGTCATTATTTAAAGTAAGAAATACTTGACTTTTGTGGGATAGGATAAGAAGATATTCTTCTCTAATAAAAAATAAAAATTGATCATTAGTCATATATCTTGAATTAGAGTTCGTAATACCATTGTATTTTTTATGTATACAACAACAATTATTTCACCCCACGGTGACAACACAAAACAGATTAGCGAAAGCGCCTTTGTTTGAAATTTCAGGACAAATGATTACACGAGAACGAACGAAGTTTGTTGCTCCTCAACCGCAAAATTGGCACAAATTGAAGAAAATTGTGTTTGACAGATCCTCCGATGAAAAAAAAGAAGTTAAACAAGTTACGATTTGCAGGTCTTAGGACCCCTGATGAAAAGTAAACAAAAAGGTTTCAAAAGGGTCCACAAAAAATAATTAAGAGACCACAAAAGGGACTACTTTGAGGTCTTTATATCTTAAAAAAAGACAAAATGACAGAGGGGCAAGTCAAATATACAACCGAGATTCTGCTGAGATTTCGAAGTTCGCTACAGAAGTGAGATAGATATTATTTTTAGCTTTAAATATAGATGGTACGAGAGTATTATAGAAAATTTATGAAAAGTAAGAAAATGTGTAAAGAATCAGAGTGAATTTACGCAAAATTCATATAAATGGTGCGGGGCGATTTTCAACCATTTTTTAAGTGCATGACTAGTACAGAGAAATATCTAATAAGAAAGAGTAAAGTATCGAGAATAAATAGATAATTTAAGTAATTACATTTTTGTGTGGTCAATATTCTCAGGTAGAAATTAACTAACGATTATGGGTTGATGAAACTTCACAATAAGACGGACAAATAAATCAATGATCACGAACTCAACATTTCAATAACGAGCTTCAATGCACACGAAGAGTAAAAATGAAAAAAGGAGCACGAGTAAAGCCATCGGTATTCAATTACAAACAATTTTTATCACAGCACAGTTGGATGTTCATCAAACACATTTAAGATTAGATATTTGAAGAAAATGTATAAAAAATAAGCTTACGAGGACAGAATAATTGAATATGATCATAACAAATAAGCCGACGGATTCTGCAATCAAACAAATAAATACACTGCGGATTTGAAACAAATTTACCGATGCCAACTGGAAAGCTATTTTAAGGGAAAAAAGTGACCCGCAGACTTTTGTGGAGAGATAAGACGGGAAAATAGGCGAGCAGTGCACGGGGAGTCTTATCCAGGCTGTCCCTCATAGACCCACGGACCCCCCTAGCTCCTTTATCATGAACCCTCGGGACCGCAAAGTTGCAGGCGCTTTCAAGTCCCCAGATTAGGCCCTGGCCACTCTTTGGTGGCGCTAAAATATTGGTCCACCCAACTCAAAAAATCTAAGCGAGGCGAAACCAAATATAGTAAAAAATAAGGCGTATGGACTTGATTAACAATTAAGATCTTCTACAAATTGAAATAAAGAAACAGTTCAGACGCCAGAACTACGAAGAGCAATAATCTGACGCCCGTCACTACGAAAACTTTTTCATTGCAGTATTGCAAACTTCTGGCCGATCGAAAGCAACTGAATGAAAGAAGGGAAAAAGTTTGGCAAAGGCAGCGAGTAGTTAGAGGGCCTTGTAGGAGAGACCAAGGGTGCATAGCAATTGCCCGCGCGCACAAAGAAGTGAACAGAGCGCGCCGTCCTGTGAACGCACATGACTGCAATAGAAAATACCCAGAAAAACTGCCCTGAAGGAATTCGCTCAGTCAGGGAGTACGGATAATCGGAAATAAAATCTAATGGAATAATGACTAAAATTTTCAGGTAAAAGAGAAATGTTCGTAATTCGATTTTACTTTGGATGCAATTAGTCCAAGTATTCTGAAATCTGTGAAAGTTGCAATATTTCAGAGAAAAGTCGGGATAAGTTATTGATGAAGATTTATCTATGAAAGAGCGTCCTAATAAAGATAGGTGGTCAAACGTTTAGGTAACAACTTTTTAAGGGCGTGAACACACTATGAATGAGCTTAATTTAATTTGCGATGCGAAGGTCAGACGAATTTGTGTTCAAAAACTTATTTATTAACTGAAAATAGATACCATTGTGTCGTAAATGAGTAAGGATCAAAGTTGAGATATATCCATCATGGCTGGTATCGAAATAATTCGTCAGACGAATATTCGACCTAAGGAAGGATATTTCTTCGATATAGTATGTTGTTGTTATATTCAGAATAGAACTCTCCGGTATGTTTAATTAACTTTATCAGCAATTTCAAGTGCGCTCATTGATTTAGTGAAAAGTCATGAGTTACTCTTTAGGCTGAACTTTATTTAATGGTAATAATCATAACGCGAAAAAAGTATACGTTTAGAAATACAAAGTTTGAATTCAAAGGCATTTTAGTAGCTTCTCCAACTTACTAAAGCTTGAAATTAGGCGGATAAGTGAAATAATAAAAAATATAACTCAGTACTCACTGCAGTGAGTGACAGAGAGCGCATTTTCTCGTCGACATGGCGAGCACAATAGTGCATTTTTTCCATAAATGAGAAAATGCGCTAAAACACAAAACGGACGTTGGTAGCAATGTTCCAAAATTCAGGACAAGAACTTCAATGCAAAAGAAAGTCATCGTCATTTTCCGCTTCCAACACTTTCAAACATACAAAATAATAATAATTTTTCACAATACAAAATTCGACAGACATGCTAGCATAGTTTCACTATCATTACAATACAAATAAAATAAAAAGCGGTACCGTCTAACGCCGGTTCAATGAAAATACCATTCTTATTTCCTGAACATATCATCACAAATACGTAGACATGTAGTCCTACTATCAATGCAAATAATTCAGTAAATTTGGATTAGATCATTGTGTGTATTTAGGGAACGCAAATCATTTTGCTAAGCTTGCCCGAGAGGCGAATAATTTGATTGTTTTGGCACAGAGAAACAATAATATTCGAACAGGCAGCGGGAGCCGAAGTATTGCATTGCACGAGTGCAGCTAAATGGAAGTGTGCGATATTTTGCGATGAATACACGCTATTGTTAAAATGATATCCAGTTTTTTAGATACAAGGTAAAAAACTTAACATCAGTTCCAGATAAGCTCTAAGTCTAGGCATTAACCAGAATGCCTAAACCTGAGTTTTATGCATTAACATAGATGAGTTGTTGAGCCATTTTTTAATAACAAGATAGTTTTTAGAAATTATAAATTGATGCCATTATAGCTAAAAGCAAGCGAAAATGTTGAACTGTTCTCCAAACTTTATAGTTTGCAGTTAATTAGAATTACCGAGCAATGCGCTTTCAGACGGCACAGCGAGCGACTGCTAATGAAATGAAACCAACGTTGGGCGACTGCATGAGAGCCGGAGCAGGAATTTCAAGAGTATTCGCTCAAGTTCTAATGAGGCTTGCAAACTATTTGTTGCTGGGCACAAGTGAGTCAATAGGCTTCCGGAAAGGCTTAAGACAGTCAACTAATAGGAGACTTGGAAGCAAATGCACTCAACGACCAAAAGCTCGGCCGAGTTCAGCGGCATGTCTAAATTGTTGCGATCTTCAACTGTGCCATTACTATAAATTGCGACGGACGAGTCCTTATAGGTTAATTGAGTTATAGTTATAGCTTTAAATACAGTTGTTCCTCATAGTTATAAGTAAACCAATTATATGTCATGAACAGTATTTTTAAAATTCGTTTGATAGTTTTCAGGTCCCAATTGATTCCTAAGCATCTTGGGGCTGTTGGTTGCAACAAGTAAATACCACATGTGCTGCTGGCCTCCATCAACTTGTAGTAAACGAGTGTTTCAAACCAATCCGTTTTAAGAAAGCCTGAGGCAATTTAAGTTTTAAGAAGTTTTTTGAAGGTTTATTTGATTGTTATTAATATTAATGCTTTCGAAATAGAGAAATTTATTCAGGAAAATGTATGAACTTCAGTCAACTTACAAAAATTAATAAGAAGCTTATTAAAAAAAACTTTAGCTTCAGAATCATCGGACCTCAACTCACCATGTCAATCCTTGGTGACGGGCAGGCTCCGGTGGGAGATGCAGACACGTCCTGGTGGTGCGGGCTGAGAAGCGGCCTGGCGGCGGCGGGACAAGACGGCGCGTAGTTGCAGGCGCCGCCGCACCAAGAGCAGCGGTAGCGCGAGGGCCGCGTCACGCACAGCGAACAGTCCGCATGGCCGCGGTGCGCGCCAAGCACCGAGCATTTGTACAGCGTCAGCGAGCGACGACCGATCTCGTGGTCCCGATTCCAAACAAGTTTCAACGTAGCCTTGTACTCAGCCGTCGGAGCTTGGTAGTGGTACGAGGCCGTCTCGCAGATGATCAAGCCTTCCGTGTCCGGAGATTCCTTGGCCGGCACAAGCATAGTCGCGCCCTCGATATTGACCACACATTGGAAGCCCAGTTGGCCGGCTCTGGGCGTGGGCAGGTTTCGCACGGCGAGGTATAACTCCGTCGGCGTGCCATCAGACGCCAGCAGGTCCTCGGTCCTCCTCATGAAGTGCGGACAGGAGTTCAATCCGTGAGACGACAACTTTGCTGGGTTCTGTAAAATAATAAATACATTTTTAAGCATCGCACCTCAAGTTCACCAAGAAACACCGAATGAGTAAACGTAACTTAGATGAGAATTAAATTTTCTCATGAAGTTAGAAATCTATGATCTGCGGACCTTAATTTTACCGTTGAAATAGAAGTTTTTGAGCATGTATAAAGATAACTTGTTACTTGCATTGCAATGTTGAAATAGAACATTTGAAACGTGTAAGAAGAACCCTATTACCAGCTGCAGCATCACAGATGGTTTACCGTAAACGTAAAAATAAAAATTGAGCAGCTTTCGATCCCTGCTTGCAGACTTCATGAGATAAACCTCTAACCTGTTCACCGGAGACGACAGTCTTGAGACACGATGAGCTGTTATGCGTGCACGTGTTCTCGTAGACGCACCAGTTGCAGGCCCACGCGCTGCGCACGCACGAACCACACGTCACGTGGCGACTGCAGTCGTAGAACGCAAAGTTCCTCGACACGAAATCCTGATTGGTTTCACTGGAGCGGACGGCGAGAGGCACGAGCGTGTGGTCTGTGTGAGGCAGAATATTTGGTCGGTACCGCAGAGCCGGCGCAGGGCAGGTTAGCCCCGTGTTGGTGACCGTGGCGTCGGCGGGAGGGGCGGAGCCCCACATGCACTGGTACTTGGCCCCAGCTGGCAGCGCGGGGAGCGTGCGAATCGTCAGCTGGATCAGCTGATAACAAGATGAAAGTGAAAATTGTGAGCGAGTAAAATTGAATGAGCATAAAGTGCACCGCTATAGAACATTAAAAATCACATTGAAACATAGTGGAATGATGTTATTCCTAGCAAATGTTGTGTTACGTTGTGTAAGTATTAACGGGTTCACGATACACAACGATGAATTGTACAGGTTGGCATGGTGGATGGTGGTGAAAATTAGTAGCAATAAAAATACAGGAAATATGTGAGAAAAACGTTAAAAAGAGTGCGTTCGTTAATGAAAACTCACGATGACGCAACAGCCAAATATCAAAGAACTCTTTTATCTCCACAACTTGTGTGTAAACAGCGGAAAAAGGTTACGATGAGTCGGACTTGATAACACAGACAGTCGATGTTATCGTTCTCTAGCTTGAAGGGCTCTTTTCCGTTTTGCATTCGCTAGCTACGCAATCCAGAAGCTTTCGATTACGCGGTATAGACCTTGACTCAGATCGTAACACCACGCTCGGAGTTTAGTTCACTTACATGTTAGAATGCGGTTGACACAAACGTGGTTACGGTAACTAGTGTCCATACGATTTGATTTGGACTAATTATCTCACAGAGTATCTTACAATAATGTACCACTCTAATAGCTGTGTCTGCATGCTCGGTCATACCAAGCGTCTCACGCTCGTCTTCAAGTTTTGATAGCTCTGTCAGCTCACTACTTTTCGGAACGTTGCTCGCTGCAAGAGTGGTATATATGCGCTAGGATTGTGCTTTCCCGTGTATGCAATCAGCGTAGTACATTTTTTTCTAAGAGTTGTCTAAATAATTTCTATAGTGTTACTTCTTATAAGAGTTGTGCATGCGCTCTACATTTGATTGTGACTTCCCAGCTAGCAGCTTACAGATATACACTCGCATCCAAGAGCTTCTGACACGTGTCAGCATGTTTCCATTAACAAATTTTCTTCGAAAATGCAGAGCTTACCGCTGATGACGTAAGTGAAAAGAATGCCGTGATAAGCTTTAGTTCAGGTGAGCCCGAGTAAATCCTCAAGCTAAATTTACATAGTTGCTTCTAGGTTGTGATTAATGCTTGCCAACCACACTATCGCTGTCGGATTAGGATTAATCATGTAGTTCTTTTTCTTGTCTAGCTTATTGAATTAAAATTCTGTGAGAAGTGATCGTTTGTTTCTATCAAGTAGCTGCAGTAAGATGCCCTGTTCTTTATATCAGTGAATGTTTGATGTTCCCATGAATATGAGAATGTAGGTCTGTTGCAGCAGTGAATTATTGGTGCCCTCATATATATATATATGACTGAGTGGATATGCCGTTATAAAGACCATAAATGTTCTTTGCTCGTATGAAAAAAACTCTCGGTTCGTTAAATCAGCGAATGTCTGGTGCTTGTATGTTTTTTTTCGCCCCCAACCTATAAATAAGTTTTCGAGGAACTTGACTGTTCATTTAAAACCATGTTATCGGTAAAGAGATCGATTCTGTTGTCAAGTGACGTAATATTATCGTTTAACCTTAAATGTTGAAAAATACATTGATTGATTGATTGATTTTTATTCACAAAGGAGCTCTAGTTACAATTCAAAAGAGAAAAAGAAAAAAACATTTACAAAATAATAGAGACATCCAAGTGAATGCCCATAAGCAGATAAGCTTCGCAGGCAACAGAGGTGATTTAAAACTCTATTCCAATGATAAGTCAAAGAAGTTAAGAGCAACAGAAAGTTTCTAAATTAAACACATACAAGGAAAAAACCTCAAGAAAACTGATAACAGGATGTCACTAAAATTAAGCGTAACAAAGCAATATAACAGTGATTAAAAACGGGTAAAAACTTGAAATATATAGTCAAAAATATTCAGAACCTGCATGACAAACGAAGTCAAATTAATACTGGTCAAGAATAAATTTACGGAATTTCGTTTTTAAAAGTAATTTGGAACAATCGTTTTTAAAATCTTCATGGAATTCATTAAAATATTTGACGCAGTTAAAAACAGTACCGCTTTTTTCTACTTCCAGACGAACCGCTGGCAAGTTAAATCGTACGCCCCTGGTATTATGGGAATGTTGAGGGACGAGAGAGGCGAAGGCGGACTCAAAAAGACGATCATCATGGAAAAGTGCCCTATGCATGAATTTTAAAAGCTCAAATTTATACATATCGTCGAGTTTCAAGATTTTAGACTGCTTATATAATACGCTAGTGAGAGTCAAAGGAATATTATTGACATCATACTTAACCCTAAGCATGGAACGCAATGTTTTATTAACTAGCGTAATGACCCTCTTCTTTGTATTAAAAGGTACACCCCCCCCAGATTACCAAAGTGTTTGCTAGTTTAGAAACGGACAATGCGTAGAAAAGAGTTTTTAACGAAGTAAAAGGTAGGACGCTCGACAATGCACGCAAAACTCCGTGGGCTTTACTCAGCCCCTGACAGACGTAGTTAATGTGCTTATTGAAGGAAATCTTGTTGTCGAGGATTAAACCAAGATATCTAAATTCGTCGACCCATTGTAAAATTGTGTCATTAAAGGTTATATCACGAAGGACGGAAACGGGTCTAGGAGTAAAAAGCATCAACTTAGTTTTGTCAGTGTGAGCTACTAGCTTGTTATCTAAAAGCCATCTCGACAAATGCACAGTCAGTTCCGATATGATATCGCACACTTCGTCGAAGGAACTTCTCGAGACATAAAACACTGCGTCGTCGGCAAAAAGTTTGCAGTTCACATTAAGAGATGAAGCAATGTCATTAATAAAAATAGTAAAGAAAAGAGGTCCCAGTACAGAGCCTTGTGGCACACCTATATTGATTGGTTTTATGGGTGAAGTGAACTCGTTTAACGCGACGAACTGTTCTCTATTCGAGAGGTAAGACTAAACAAGTGAGAGGAAGGTCCCTCTAATGCCATAACGGTGTAGCTTCCCTAGAAGAATTCTGTGATTCACACAATCAAAAGCCTTCTGTAGGTCCAGAAAAAGAGCGACACAGTAATATTTTGAATGGTACGTCCTAAGAAGGTCTTGAACTAGATAAAATATAGCCATGGTTGTGTTGCAACCCTTACGGAAACCAAACTGGTTATCAGATATAATTGAAAATTTATCGAAAAAAGTAGTTAGTCTAGAGTGGAGAATTTTTTCAAAAATCTTATTAAGATATGACAGGGTTGATATAGGACGGTAATTCGAGACTTTGGAAGGGTCACCCGATTTAAAAATAGGTATAACTCGAGCTCGTTTCAGTAAATTAGGATACACTCCTGTGGACATACAGAGGTTAAAAATATGCGCTAAGACTGGCGCTACAGTGTCAGCTACAAGATACAATATTCTTGGCTGAAATTCATCGACCTGAAGTTTTTTGCCCTTGCACAGTCGTAAAATTTGCTTTATCTCAAATTCAGAAGTAGGAAACCGGAAGCAGGATGCCTCACAGGAGGGAATTTCATTCATCAAATAATCGTTCACAGGACCTAAGTTTTTTGTGATATCGTTAGCAGCAGAGATGAAATAATTGTTAAATTCAGTTGCTGCATCGGTACCGGAAATTATCTCATTATTTTTTAACAATTAAATTCTTTTTTTACCAACATTTTTTACAAGCAAGTTGTTGACAATTTTCCAAAGAACCTTTGAGTCATTCGACGCCTGCTCGATTTTGGCTGCGTAGAATTGCTTTTTGACAGTCTTGATTAACGCATTTAGGACATTTCGATAAGTGGCATATGATCGACGAAGAATTACACCAGAGCGGGAGAGCTTCAGAAGCTTATGTTTCTTCCTGATAGCAGACTTAATTTCAGCTGTCACCCAAGGAGGCTTATGTTTCTTTACTGATACAAACTTTATGGGAAATGATTCATTATAAATTTTAGAAAGTTCAGATATAAAGGAGTGCATTGCTGCGTTAGGTTCGTTAATATTTGAAAGAAATGCCGATGGAAAAAGTCTCATGTTTTCCTTGAACTTATGAATATTTTCATCATTAATCACGCGAATTTTCCTCAGAAGTGAAACGAACGGAAATCTTGTTTCAAAGTGAAAGAACGTCATCAAGTGATCAGACAAGTCGCAGTCAACAACGGCTGAATGGGGATTGGATCCAAAAGAAAAGTTACACCAGATATGGTCAAGTAACGAGAACGGGGTGATAGGGTTTTGAGGAGAGATTCTGGTTGGTTTGGTTATAACTGGATAAAAATTGCTACATAGAATTTCATGTATAAAAAAATTGGTCGAGCATAAATTAAGAGGGTTGTACAGATTTATATTGAAGTCCCCACAAAGAATTGTTTTACTAGTTCCTTTTATTTTCGAAAGAACCTCGACTGAGAACAGTTCATTGAATGTTCGAATGCTGTTGGAGGGTGGTCTATAGACGCAAAAGATAGATAGCTCAAACGCAGGTAAGCGAACACATAAACTCAAGAGTTCATACTCTTTTTTCACCCAAGAGAAATCATTATTAACCCTCGCGCTGAACTTTTCATCCACGTAAGCAGTTATACCTCCCCCATGGCAGTTGCGATAAATACTATACTTGGAAAAACCAGGAATATTAAATACTTGGTCTGAGTTTGGACTCAGCCAGCTCAATATATTAATGATTCTACAAAATTTGGGAACTTGCATCATGCACTCCCTGGAATTAAATAAAACCCGAGGATATTTATCACACAAGACTCGATAAATTAGATAACAAGAACAATGCATTTCTGTCAGATGATGAAGAAGCACAATCCCTCCACTGTTCAGTTCAATAATCTTGCTGATAAATACAGCTCATTATACACGACGGGGAGGTAATTAATTAACACAACTTTGGCTACTGATGCTAAGAGACTTAGTTACCAATAAACACGCTAATGAAGCGACGATCAGCAAAATAGATCACTGGATGATGTGTGGGTTCTGAGCGTGGCGTTATTTATGGGCGATCCTCACGAGAACGAGACGCTCGCTAAGCCACATTATATCATTAGCCATTTCGCTATAGAGGAAATCATTTAATTAATGGCAAAATAAAAACTCAACAGTAAATGAATATTGTATAATTAGTGATTCAAATTTAAAAGTAATGCGCCGAAATGTGTCTCGAAGTGTATCCGCATGTTAGATTAGACTCGCAAATATGACAACACATACCGTATATAATCAGATATTGAAAAATTTTATGAAATCAATCGATTAAGTTAACGCCCAGTCATTATTGGAACAGTAAAATACCCTCATGCATGATGACATTCTACAGTAGCTCGACGAGGTGATTTCACCTTAGATTATTCCCCATCCCGAAACAGGCATTAAAATAATGAAAATGAAGTCTTGTAGAACTAATAGAACATTCGTGAAAGATTGTAATCTTTCTTTGAAGTAATTGCAACAGGAGCTAGGCATAGACGACGAAAAGAAGTGATCGAAATATTGATTTGATGTGATTGCAACAGGAGCTAGGTATTGACGACGAAAAGAAGTGATCGAAATATTGATATGATGTGATTGCAACAGGAGCTAGGTATTGACGACGAAAAGAAGTGATCGAAATATTGATATGATGTGATTGCAACAGGAGCTAGGTATTGACGAGGAAATCAAGAGATTGAAATATTTATATGCTGCGATTACAACAGGAGCTAGGTATTGAAGACGAAAAGAAGAGATTGAAAACTACGATTGTAACTGGAGCTGGGCATTGAAGACAAAAATAAGAGGTCAAAAATTTTGTTTGACGCAATTTCCACGGGAGTTAGGCATTGAAAACAAAAAGAAGAGAAAACCAGGCTGTTGAGAGCCTGAATCAGCTTGTTGTCTTTTTCTCGCTGGACTAATTAGCTAATGCCGAGTCAGCAGCAACGACATGAGAGCAAAAATGTGGATGGGCTGACCCGGACAAACATTAGAGCCGAAGCTGCCGATCTGCCGGGCTCGGTCACTCCTAAATTGCGGGCCCGAAAAAAGTGAATGGGTCTGGCTGGCCCTTAGCATCTACCTTGAAGTTTTAGTCTTGGCGGAATCTATGCAATATTTGGAATCGTAAGTTAGTAAATATGGTAAAGCCGCATGTAAATTGGAGATCGAAGGTTTTAATAATTAATCTAACCACTGAAACGTATTGAAAAGCTCACTGTATTTTTGGCGATAGATTTGAACGTGTAATCTGGAATCAATCCTATTAAAAAAAACTTTAAACTGAAAAATGTCTTCCAATAATAAGTTCGATCATTAAAATTTTTGAATTTGATGATTTGTGCGATTGCTAAATTGCGAGGCGTTGTAAATGACGAGGGCCACAAGGCGGGAAAACCTAACTCTAAAAAATAGATTTTTGTATCGTATAAAAGAAAGATTAATTATTAGAGGTGCATCTGATTCAATGAGCTGTTAAAAACTGGCATCCGTTCATAGTTTCTTATTTCAATGGCAGCACAAACGAGCAATACTCGCAGTACCACAAAGATGCTAGTGATATCATTCTCAATGACAACGCAAGCAAGCAATACTAATAGTGTCAGGAATCTACTAATGGTTTCTTACTCAAATAGGAGCGCAAGCAAGCAATACTCACAGTGTCAGGAATCTACTAATGATTTCTCACTCAAATGGCAGCGTAAGCAAACAATACTCACAGTGTCAGGAATCTACTAATGATTTCTTACTCAAATGTCGGCGCAGCAAGCAATACTCACAGTGTCAGGAAGCTACTCATGATTTCTTACTCAAATAGCAGCGCAAGCAAGCAATACTCACAGTGTTAGGAAGCTACTCATGGTTTCTTACTCAAATGGCGGCGCAGCAAGCAATACTCACAGTGTCAGGAAGCTACTCATGGTTTCTTACTCAAATAACAGCGCAAGCAAGCAATACTCACAGTGTCAGGAAAATACTCATGGTTTCTTACTCAAATAACAGCGCAAGCAAGCAATACTCACAGTGTCAGGAAGCTACTCATGGTTTCTTACTCAAATTGCAGCGCAAGCAAGCAATACTCACAGTGTCAGGAAGCTACTCATGCTTTCTTACTCAAATAACAGCGCAGTAAGCAATACTCACAGAGGCTTCAGTGTTGATAGGAAGGCCCTCAGGATCGATGGCTTCGAAGTCAATGCACTGTTGGCCAGACCTGAAGTTCAGCCACCGCGGGGACGAGAAGCCCGCGTGTTCGCACGCCGATGCCACCGTGCACCTGAATGAGGCGAGATGAGTGGTTATTGGAATGAACATTAGAACGTTTCTTAGCAGGGAAAGTGAGCATTTCAAAACGAACATTATGATGTGGCCAGCTTTAAAATGCAGATGTCAAAGGAAACGTGGTGCAGAAGCAAATAAAATGCGACATGATCTTCGGGTAATTTTGCAAATAGAAAACCAAGCTTCAATAGAATAAGATATTTTAATAATTTTCTGCAAAGGGGTAAGAGTTTCAATAAGAAAGTTTAAAACATTGACTTAAGTGTTAGTGGGCTTTTATGTTTAATAATAACTCAAGTTTATCTCCAGATAATGCCCGGGTGTTTATCTTCATAAGAAAAAATAGGCTCAGGGCATGCATTTATGAAACCTACTATGACTCGAGACCTGCTAGACTGTGTACATAAGCATATTATTGAGTATTGGAACAGCGTTAAAGTCAAATATGCCTAATCACAGCAATTAATTTACTGTTTCTCTGTTAAATTGAATAATAGAGCTTATAGTTGAAAATAATAATCCCAATTAGAGTAAACAGCCGCTATTAACTACAGAGAAATTATAAAATAGAACATTACAAGAGAGGAGTGAGCACGAAGAAAATATTTGTGTGAATTTTGAGTCAAAAGGACTATGGAAATATCATGAAAGAACACTTCATTAAATTTCATGCTTTTATTATTTAAGTTCCCCAATGCATCTAAATTCGGCGACAAGACGACTATTTAGAAATCATTTGAAATTAAAACCAGGTCGTTCCAAAGATTATTTTATAAATATTTGGAAGAAAGTAGAATCCACAAAAATATATTTGTTATTCCGGCGCCCATCCACGTCAAAGTGCGACAAATTTATAAACTATCATCACGATTTCAGTGCGAGAGGCCGAGCTCTCGCCCTTGACGGCTTCAATAAGCCAGAAGAAGACAGATGCTCTCATTAAAGACAGGGATTTTCTCGCAGAAAATCCCACTGAAAAATTAGAATAATGAGAGACGAGGACAATTGTTCAATTCTGGGCCAAGAACAAATATTGCACGGATTCTCAGCGCGCGAGAGTTCATCCAGCGCGAATTCAATTTAGAGAAATTATGGGAAGGAGAGAGCGGAAATATAGCTTCCCTGGGTTGAATTTTTCACCTTGAACAGTTGAACTGCGATGTAGAAATCATTGAGGTCAAAGATGGAAAAATAGCTCAAAAAAGTCATAACTAAATGGCATTTAGTTTTTCTAAGGGGAAAATGTAGAAATATGAGATGGAAATATTAACTGGGTATTCAAACAAAATACATTTTTGCTCAATTCTACAATATTAGTAGATCTAGAAATGGAATCGAGATATAAAAAAGTTATACCACGTAAAATGCATCTGTTTTTTATGGATGAAGAAAATGTCGTTTAGAAAACCTATTACTCATTGCTCGTTTTAAGGGAAGACCATTAAACATCCTTCGATATCTGGTTTCAGACACAAATCATACTGAAATTATGAAAACTAATATAATAAGAATAATATTATTTTCTATCAATATTTGGCTATAAAATGCAAACACTCTTATTTAGTTATTCAGGAAATCGAAACGCTGAAAGTTTTTCGTTTGGAAATTCCGTAACAAATGAAGTAGTTAAAATAAACTGACAAACGCTGTTCTTCGATCTGAATCCACAAATTTAATGAATACTAGAACAATTCATTAACACTTCATGCAGCAGCGGCGCTATCATAAATAAAGCCATGGAAATCTATTTAGAAATCTGTAATAGAATGAATTTTAAGCCGTACAATACAAATACGAGTCAATTACAGATTCAACATTAAATAACTAGGACCATTATTAAGGTAGTTTCGAGTCGTATTCAAACCCCGAAAACCATACTACGCGGTGCCGAGAGTGCGTACATTTGAGATATTATTTATAGATATAGATATTATATGAAATATTCGTCTGATGCAGCAACTCGATGTCACATTGGGAGACGCAGTCAATTAGCAGTCACCCCTTCGCGGCATCAGCGGTGTCGTTCCGCATGCAGCGAATAATATTTATTGATTATATCTGGGCTACCATGCAGGGTCGCTCTCACTCTCAGAGCCGTATAATAGAGCCATTATTCGCCATTATGATGAGAAAAAGTTAATATATTCAAGGAACGGACGGCCGGTGAACATGAGACGAGGCGTGTGCTTCTAGAAAATCGCAATAACGATGCTAGTTCTAGTAAATTCGACTATTCTCATCATATTTTACTTCTTCACCTTCACGACTAAATGAAGGAAGAATGTGTCATTGAACTAAATATTTATTAATAATGTATATGCGATCTTTTTGAACCAGTTTTCGAATTTGTCAAAGGCATGAAAAAAGTAATTTAAAATTCTGGTCGGTTCGGCAACAAGGAACTCATAGCGTTTGATTTAATATAAAAATGGATGCATCAAATTTCACAAGGACGATTCAGGGGAACGCATAGGCGCAAGAAAGTCACTAGCTCAGTTCGTTGTCATAGATGAATTATTACAGATTTGGGAAGACACGTCAACATTTTCTGACAATCTTAGTCATGGAGCGCTGGAGGTGCAAGATGCATTTCTACCTAATCAATTGATCGGCAAATCGCGTGTCCACACCATCAATTTTGCAATCCAGTCAAAGAAAATGAATGAAAACTAAGCGATTGAGGCATTAGTCGTCTATCGCAGAAAGGAATTATATTTTTTTCGTATAAATAGCAATTCAAAAAAATAATTTAAAGCAAAAGATTGTAAGTGCAATAAAAGACTCAAATTAATAATAATACTGTCATTTGGGATTAGAATGCAATTGAATTGGATTAATAACAATTTGTTATAGCCTGAGCGAAAAAATACATCGGTATCATTCATCCGTTCCCTGAGATAGCACAGGAAGTAACGGTACATGAAATAGCGTTCTCTAGCAAGCGTTGGCTTGCCCTTAAATTCGTTATGGCTTTTCCATTAGCCTGTTTCATCATAGCAGAGCACAACATAATCGCGATATTAAGGTACTATACTCGGGTCGAGGGCTCCCACGCTCGCAGAGTAATCTTGCTATTAGAGAGGCGCACAAGCCGAACTGAAAGGCGAACCCCCAGCCTAATCCTTTTGAAGCGCAGGTTTCGGTGACCGACCCCATGCATGCAGGCAGGTTGTGGCGCAAGTGAGCTATGAGAGAAGAGGGGGGACTGTGCGAGGCGAGTGCTAAATGGATTAAACTTGACGGATTCCCTCAAATGCCATCGAGAGTTGGCTAGGATGTAAGGTTCATTGTACTGTGACAGACAACGTGAACGGTCGGGGAAATTGCAGAGAAAGATATCGATTGAAATAACGTAAGCAGGACGAATATTCAGTTATGAGAATACATCACAGAATGTCCGTTAGTACGGCTATGAACTACATTCAAGAAGCTGATCGAAAAAGTAATGTTACATAGCATCCCCACTCAGAGAAATTAAATGATCATTTCAAGTACATGGCAGTCAATGCAGCTTTCATATACTCAGACTATGAAAGTAAAACTGTGGATATTAAGAACGGCCATCGATGAAAAACGTTCATTTTAGGCAGGTTCATTGTTCAGCCGAGTTCTTCAGCGCGAACACTGCGATTTTAGGGAAGTAAGACAAGTAAATGTATCGATGCAGCACATACATTGAACGTCAGGAGAGATGTCAAAACTGTACCAAAATGGGACTTAAATGACTTGAACAATGAGTCGAAGCACGTTACCTTAAAGTTTGACAATAATACACAACGGAACTATAATAAACCGGACAAAAACGTACGTAGGACATCAGTCGCATGCATGACAGGGAAGTTTTTTCATTATGGATAATTTGCGCTTTGTAGTGCACTTTAACTGAAAAATTAGGTCCACATCGCAACAATATTTTTGCCCAAGGTTTTTTATTTCGTGTTCTATTCAAAGACAATATGCACAGTAGAATAAATAATTCCACACATGCTCGATTAATTGATGGGTCTGTTCCTATTGGAGTTGAAATCTCGCAAAGGTCTTAAATGATAGATCACGAGTAGCGTGAAATCACGTGTTATTTTTGTACCGCCATCATTCTAGGAGGTGTCGGTGAGGCTTATTATTAAGTGGAAGTATACGAACTCACACATGGCCGGCTTGTGCTCCAGCCGATACATACGTGTGGAAATATCGACGATGTGTCACAGCGTTAGCACCAAGCGTGTCAGACCTCACGCACTGCACTGCGCTACGCCGTAATTGAATGCGAACATCGAGTCGGGTTTGAGCTATTGTAAGCGTCGTAAAACTGGCCTTAAATCTCCGACACTTTAGATACGACGAGCCTGTGAGCCTTCAAACATACTTGGAATCACAGCTTTCCTCTTACCATCTGTCTAGGTTTCGAGGAGGGCCGGAACCGTCAAATAAAAACTTTCAACAAAAAACATTTTATAAGAACAGATATTTCAAATCGCGTCATAATTTACAATGACAAGAAGAGCATGTTTTCAATTAATTGCACACCATTATCCATTCACTGCTCCTTCTTGAAATGATGAAAAATGAACCACATCATGCAATGTTATTTTCAGTGTTCAACAGCTAAATGGGTTATTTTTTTCCTACCATATTGAAAGTTCACGAGCTGGTCCATATATAGCAACTTGATAACAATGAATGACAAAACAATAAAACGTTTCATCCCGTTAGATTCAGGTGCCAAAAAATGTCAACAATTTTCTAAATACGAGGCATTCATGTTAAATTCAAAATAGACACAGGCTTGAGAGCGTGCTAAGCTATTGCGTAGAGACCTTCATGATTTTCTAAAAATTGCTAAGTAAAACAGTGGCAACCTAATTCTTATTCATTCTGAAAGTAGGCCACGAAAAGCAAACTAAGTTACAAATGAACTCGTAAAATGATTCATAAGAATTGAAGAAAAAAGAACAAACTCTGAAAGCTCTATTGTCTTTCACAAGTAATTAATTA